GTTAAGAAAACATTCAGTAATAAAAACATTTTTAAAAGAGCATTTCAGGTGGTACATACACTAAGTAGCTTAATTAGCAGTCTATGTTGTATTCCTAAATCATAGTATGACTTTGCACCCTATAAATATATATAGTTACAAACTGTCAATGTATAATAAAATAAAAATTTGAAAGGATTGTCATCTACTGCAGCTGGAAAGCAAGTGGAGCTGAAGAGTGGCACAAGTCTGTGCTGTAAGAGCAGTATGTGCTGTAAGAGCAGTAAAGTGTCAAGGACGGCTAACTTTTTGGCCTCTGTGGGTCTTTCTTTAAAGGAATGGAACAGGGATATCTCTGGAGATGCTTTTTAGAGCAAGTAACTCTGAGGTTTGCTTGAGCACTCTGAGCAGACAGTAATGAATCACTCTCCCCTTATTTGCCCATACTCTTTGTTTTTAATTAATTAGTCCCTTCTTGCAAAAACTATGCAGGGATCTGCACTGAGGCAGATGCCCTGCAAAACATTCTCTGCCTCCCTCAAGATTTTTCTACACTGGTCAAGGTTGTCCATGCCTATAGTCCCAACTACTAGGGAGGCTGAAGTGGGAGGATTCCTGCCAGCCTGGGAAAGATAATGAGACCCTGTTTGTTTATCACTGGACAGGTTCCAAGGAAACATCCCAAAGTACAGGTGGAAACTTCAACTATTTGCCCCCACCAACAGAGCTTTTTTATTTTTCTTTTTTGGTCTTGGAGATGAAATCCAGGGCTTTCACACTGAGTTACATCCACAGCCTTTTGTTTTGAGACATGGACTTGCTTAATTTCTTAGACTGGGCTCAAACTTACAATACTCCTGCCTCAGCAGGAGTAATCAGAGTGCTGAGATTACAGCTATGTTTTTAATAGCTAGAGTAGGTTCTTGACTTGTCACAGAAAAAACATTTCAAATTGGGCATGGTGGCATGTGCTTGTAATCCTAGCACTCAGGAGGCTGAGGTAGGAGGACTGACGTGAGTTCGAGGCAAGTCTGGACTACACAGCGAGACCCTGTCTCAAGAAAACTAAAACTAGAACCAGGGATTTAGCTCAGTGGTTCAGGTACCTGCCTCGCAAGCACAAGGGCCCAAGTTCAATCCCCGGCACCAAAACAAAAACAAAACAACAACAACAAAACTAAAACTAAAATAAAATAAATTAAAGAAAACAGGGCCAGGAATATAGCAAAAGCCCTGGGTTCAATCCCTAGTACTAAAAGGAGGTTGGAGGTTGGGGTTGTAGCTCAGAGGTAAGTGTACTTCTGGTTCCATCCACCAGTATCACCAAAAAAGAAAAAAGAAGTGCCTATTACTCCAAATGTACGGTACAAAGTGTGCTATGGACACGGGGAGGTAAACCATTTGGTATGGTTTGGGTAAGTTTGGAGCCGTCAGAAGAGGCTGGAGCAAACGTTCACATCAAAGTGGCCCTCTTGTGCCCCATGTGCAAGCACCACCTCATCTTTTTCACTCCAGGATAAGCCAGAGAAGGACAAACCAGCGCAAAGGTTGCAGCTGTGAGGAACTGCGGTCTGTTAAACCACAACTCTCGATGGAACCATTTCTGAAATAAAAAAGTTTACTCATCCATTACTGATGTTAGCCAGAAAAAAAGGACCACATCTAAGGACAAGTTCCTATAACTTCTAGCAGCAAGACTAGGCAGCATTTGGAAAAATATCCACTGGATCTGGAGCTAAAAATAACGTTTCTAATCAAATTTGGGAAAGGAAAGATTAAATTACTTACATTAATCCTGGACTGGTGTTACTTGGAGATGAAGTAGAAGCCTCATTATAACTATCCTCTATAATGTATCTGAACTCAGAATACGCATCACAGTTGAAAACAGTGTACACTACTTAAAAAAAAAAGGGCGGGCGATTGAGCTCAGTGGTTCCGCCGCCTAGCTGGCAAGTGCAAGATCCCGTGTTTGATCCCCAGTACCAAAAAAATCCCTAAAACAAAAAAAAAACCCACTACTTTAATATGTAAATTAAATTAATTCAGCCTTATGAATACCTTCAACAATATTCATAAAAAAGGAAGACACAAGCCTTCCTAGCATTTTCTCACACAGTCTCTGCGGGCCAGAATCCAGGAATGGCTCAGATAGGTGGTGCTCACTTTAAGTGTCTCAGAGGTCAAGACGGTTGCCATCATTTGGACCTAGAACACCCCTACTGGCCCATGTATTAAAGGTCTAGTCCCCAACCTGGTGCTACTGGAACACAGTGGGACCTCTAAGACTTGGTTTTAGGTTACCTGTGAAGGGGATGGTGGAGTCCTGGTGTCTTTCTCCCTCTCTCTCTGATTCATGGCCGCCATGAGGTGAACAGCTTTGCTCTACCACACGCTCCCTGACATGACACGCAGCCTTGCTACTGGTCGAAAAGCAACAGGGCCAACCAACCACAGGCTGAAACCCCCTCCAGTTTTCTTTTAGGCTGTTGGCAATAATCCTCAGGTGGGTTCTCCACGCCCAAACCACGCTGACTCGGTTCAACAGGGCATTCCAAGGTGACAATTAGTTAATCCACCACAGGTGGATTCTTTTAAGAGGGGACTCTTTTAAGATTGTTCCTTCTTCTTTGGGTATTGTGCCTCAGCTCTAAAATTATAGACTGTTCCTTATAACAGTTAGAGTTGTCCTTACCTCTTCAACCCCTGTAATTCATGTGTGTGTGTATTTGTGTGGGGATGGCTAGTATATTATAAGGGATTGAACCCAGGTGCGTTCTACCACTCAGCTGTATGACCAAGCCTTTTGAGACACAGTCTTACTAAATTGCTGGGCTCCAACTTGTGATCTTCCCACCTCAGCAGCCCTGTAGGATGGTCCAGGTGGTAAGGAAGAGAGGCCACCTGCCAAGAACCAGCTGGACTTGTGTGGGACATTGCTGTGGGATCCAGGCCCTTGGCTGGATTCTTCGACTCTAGTATACAGTTAGATCTCTTGCACTGCTCTGCATTTGACTTTTTGGGTAACTATTACAAAGTAGTCCTTTAAATTATATGTTCTATATTAAATCCATTTCCCTTGCAAACCCTGGTTACAACACTATTCTTCTGTTAAGATTTGGACCTCCCTGGAGAGAGGGTGATCATGGCCTGCTCTATGGTGAAGTTTGCTAATATGCTATAGCTGGGGTTGGCAAGGAGGAAAAAAATTGACCACTGAGGAACCACTGAACTCACTAAACCTGCCAGCCACCACACCACCTTTGTGTGTGTGTGTGCATGAGAGTGAGAGAGAGAGAGAGAGAGAGAGAGAGAGAGAGAGAGAGAGAGAGAGAGGGGGTGAGAGAGAGGAAGAGAGAGAGAGAGAGAGAGAGAGAGAGAGAGAGAGAGGGATTGAGAGAGAGGACATATGCATGCACATGAGAGGGACAGTTTTGCAAACCATTCCTTGTTATGGGCCATAAAAGCGAGAAGGCAAACAGTACACTGGAGCCAGGACCAGAAGCCCCTTCACTTTTCTGTGTCCCTAGTGGTCTCTACTGAGGAAGTGAATGGGTGCCAGCTGGCAGAGGAGAAACACTCATAGGGTCCTGCTTCAGGGTCTCAAAGCACAGCAGAGGAGTGGATGTGGAGCCAAGAAGCTGTAAACTGATTACAAGTACACATACATGCTACTACAGAAAAATTAATTAGTTGATTCTGGAGTGCTGTCTTAGACTCCCTGGGCTGCTGCCTCATACACATGATACACACACTGTTCTGCTTTTGTACAATCTAAGTAATTCTGCAACATATCAGGACCTCAGGATCTTGGTTAAGGGATCATGGACCAGTACAGTACTACTTTGTTGTTAGCATATTTTGCAAAACTTGGTGTACAGATTCTGAAACTCTGGGGGGAAATATGCCTCCAGGTATTCTTTTTAATTTTTGGTACGGGGATCAAACTGAGGACCTTGCACTTGCAAGGCAGGTGCAGTGTCATTGAGCTAAATCTCCAGCCTAAGGTCTTCTGTTTTTTATTATCATCAAATCTGATGGCCATGTTGTATCAAGTTTGAAGCAATAAGATACCTGAGCATCTAAGTTCTTGTTTAGGAAGAGGCTAGAATAAGGAGATAGATAAGCCTTGGTTCAGCTTGCATAGGCTTTTATCAGAAATATGACTTTTTTTCTGTCCTGGGGGTTGAACCCAGGACCTCATGCATGCTAGGCAAGTATTCTACCACTAAGCTATATCCCTGGCACTTTTTTTGTTTGAGACAATGTCTCATACTAAGTTGCTCAGGATGCCCCTAAACTCGCAATCCTCCTGCCTCAGCTTCCCGAGTAGCTGGAACGATAGGCATTTACCACAGAGCTTGGCTTAAATATGATTTGATAATACCACCAAGCTTTTGATATTTCATTCAATATGAGTCTTTTTTTTCTCTTAAGGGGGATATTGAGTTAATCTCCACCACAGTTCCAATGACAGGGGCTGCAAACTAAAATATCTATCTGGGTTGGGCATTAAATCTAGATGAGAGAAGTATGCAGATTTCTAGGGTTTGAATGTCTCCACCAAAACTTACATTAACATTGAATCGCCACTAGAGCTGCTAAGAGGTGGGACCAGGTGGCAGTGTTAAGAGGTGATTGGGTAAAGTACGTTATGTGCATGTACAAAAAGAGAGGTGTTTGGGTCTTGAGGACTCTGCCCTGAGGTGTGGATCAATCTGAATGTGAATTAATGGATTAATGAGGTTATGAGGGCATGGATTTGTTATGAAAGGGAGCTCTCTCTGGCTATTTCTCATCAAATGGTGCTCACTTTCATGTCACGATCCTGCAGCAAGGCCCTCACCAGATTCCAAGCAGATGACACCATGCTCTTAGACTTCCAGACCCATAAGCTAGATAAAGCTCTTTTCCTTATATATTACCCAGGTTCACAGATTCTGTTATGGCAACAACAGACAGACTAAGACACATACACGAGACAACTGGAAGTAATAGCACCATGAAAAATCATACAGTACCTGCTTCATAAAAAGAAGATAGTTGCAGCTGGGCATCATGGGCATCACTTGGGAGACTGAGGCAGGAGACTTACAAGTTAAATGTCATTCATTGCAACTTAGTGAGACCCTATATCAAAGTAAAACAAAGAGTCGGGTGTAGTTCAGTGGTAGAGCACTTGCCTAACTTGTATGTGGCCCTGGGTTCAAGCCCTAGTACTCCAGGAAGAAAAAATAGTTACTCTTTAATTGCGCATATTGCTACCATCTTGATCCAATAGTCAGGCAGACATTCTAATTTTTCAAGAGAAGCTTGAAATTCAGATTTTTAAAATGTCAAACTGTACTAGGGGTGGTGGCATGTGAATGTAATCCCAGCCCATGGGAGGCTGAGGCAGGAGGACTGCCATGAGCTTGAGACCAGCCTGGGCTACAGAGTGAGTTTAAAGCCAGCCCGAACAACATAGTAAGACCCTGTTTCAAATAATCCCCCCAAAAAAGTGAAACAAATTTTGAAATAAAAAGATGGCACAAGATAAACATATACATGGAAGGGATCACATTCAGCTTGTGACTCCTACCTGGGTCCTATGTGCTATGTCCTGTGGTAAGTGCTGAGACTTTTACAGTCTTGGGCCTCAACAAATCATGCCTCTCTGTGTATACATCCTTGAACAGAACGTTGCTACACTGACTATGGATGTGGCTGCATGACTTGCTTTGGCTGATGGGGCACTAGCAAGAGTGCTACAATCAAAGGCTTGACAAGCATTTGTTCACTGAAGCTTGTCCTCTTTCAAACTACTATGCAGACTCTTGAATGATAAGAAGCCTTGTGGAAAAGAGAGGCCCTAGAGGATGTGAAATCATTTTTAATGAATTCCCAGATGATTGTAGCCCCACATATTACCTCAGAACACACCGTGTGGGCCCAGCTGAGCCACCCACACAATTGTAAAAAATAATAAACCATTGTTATTCTAAGCTGCTAAATCTAAGGGTGGTTTGTTATGTTGCAATAGGTAACCGAAACAAAGGTCATTTATCCTAACCTCCTTGTTTTACTACCAAGGTTCAGATAGGGGAAAGAGTCTGGTGAAATTCAGACAGCATGTTAGAAACAATAACTTTGCAGTTCTGGGCTTTTTCTTCCTATTGCATTTCTTCCAATTTTCTTGGTGAAAAGCACCTCATAAGGACCGTGAAACTTCACAGTATCTTCAGGGAATTTATACTGTGTCCTAAATGTGTACAAATTGCTGTAATAACTTGGCCTTGAAAATGGAAAAGATTTCTAGGTCATCCAGTCACTTCATTTTACAGGTTCAGAGAATGAAAAAATACTTTAGAAGAGAGCAGCCTCTGACATCTGGAAGCTGGCCTGGTAAAATCATCCAAGCCTTAATGTCACTAGACAAAAACTTGGCCCTTAGAGCTAGGCTTCGTGTTCTCCCGTAGAACAGAAACAATTTCACAGAACATCAATATCAGATAAGGCCATTCTATGACCATAATGGATCAAGACAAATATAAGACCACTTTATAATCATGTTTGAACTCAGATAAAACATGAATATTGTCCTAACCACAAAAAATGAAAAAGTACTCTCATTGGGCAAATACCAGGGACTGTTTCTTTACCAAATACAGCATTAGCCTCAATGTAATATTCCTTTCCTTCAGATAAGATTTATTGATATGTCCAATCATAGAATTGTCTCCACTTTGTGATATCTCCAGAGAGATGTCTGTGCTTCCTTAAATCTTCTCCCAAATCAGCTAACATTGTTTCCCCCTAGTACAGGGAATTGAAATCAGGGTATTCACACTGAGCTACATTCTCAGGCCCCTTCCCTCCTTTACTTTTTATCTCTGAGTCAGTCATTAAGTGGCCCAGGCTGGGGTGGAACTTGCAATCCTTCTGCATCAGCCTTCCAGAGTGCTGGGAAGGTGCATGCCACCATACTCGGCTTCATCTAACAGCTCTTAAGATGCAGCACAATTCCTCATGCAGCGTGTTTTCCCTCATTGCAACTAGTAATAAATTTAGCTTGTTCTATTATCAGTGTTGCTGTTGGTGGTTAATTAGCGGGAAATGACTTGCTGAAATTCGAGTTGGAGGTAGAGTTCACTAGAAGGCGTCTCCAATCAGATTCCTTCTTAGCACTGTTATTCTTCTGGTTAACGACCCTTCCTTCCCTATTAGAATTAAATTCCACGAGAACGGGGGCCTCATGTGATTCTCAGTACTTAATCAGTCAATACTCAGTAGTGGCTGGATATTTAAAACAATAAATATTTTCTGAGCGAATGAGTGAAGGGGTTCAATCTACACAGGTTCCCTTCCATGTCTCAGTTCTACCAATTCGTGTGGCATACAGACAGCCCATCTCCGTACACTGCCTCTCTCCCTCAAAAAACTCCAAATCCCTTTTTCTGGCATGCTCAACCTCTTAAGACTCCTCGGTGGCCCTCTCTCATACTCAAATCCAGGACTCTACCTTCCTAACCTACCTAGAACCCACTGGTCTACACCATCTGCCCCACCACAAGAAACACTCGCGGAAAGCCCTGCCGCTACCTAGGCATACTGCGGACACCGATAGCGCATGTGCGGAAATCGGTCGCAGAGGCAAGATCTCCGACAAGTAAGGAGTTGCCTTCGAGTTTCCGTCCCGGTTTAAGCAGGCTTGGGCTGTCAGGAAGTGAGAAGAAACTAGCCGGAAAAGAAAACCAGCGCGCAAGGCTTTCTGGGACCTGTAGTTGTGGTGCTTCCGAAGGCTTACCCAAAGCAAGTCCTTCCTTCTTTAGGTCTGCACTCAAAGAATTCACAGTCCAGCGCTCCATTCAGCTCAGAATTCAGCCCCGGGCTTCCTATAGAGAGTGGTCTCGGATCCGCTTTGTGTTCCCACAACGCCCCGCGGGGCTCGCGGCGCCTGCTGGGAGTTGTAGTCTTTGCTCTGCGTACTGCGTTCGCCGCGGGGGAGGGCGGAGCTGCCGGCGGCCCGGGCGGGCTGGCAGCTAGAGAGGGTGCGAGAGCTGCCTCCGCCTCTGCCTCCTCCGCC